ATGAACACATGCACACACACACACACACACACACACACACACACACAGAGAGAGAGAGAGAGAGAGAACATGCAAAAGAACACATTCTCTGATCATCTTGAGAAAACAAGTACATGAATCTTTCAAGAAAATCATGTGATAGAAATCTCTTTTACCACTTACCATCTATCTATCTCAGAACATATGCCATGATTTTCTCAATCCACTGCATTTGGTTTTAGAACATGTAATACACAGCTCCCATCAGCTGAAAAACTACAGCTAAAAATATTTAGGAAGGAATCATGGAAGAAAGCACATGAAACACCCTAACTACTCAGCTCTCATTTCCACACTGAAGTTCTTTTAGTGTTTGACATGTTTGGTGCATCCACCCCCCCACAAGCACCCACCCACTGCAACCTTCAAACCTCTGCTGAATGATCCCAAGGAAACCAATGCTCATGGGCAAGTCCATTTACCCAAACAACTAACTACCTTCTCCAAGGAACTCCTTCTCAGACTTGCTGATAACCCAAAAGAGAAAGAAGGCCTAGTCCATTCAGAACCCTCTTTTGAACCTCAGATAAGAGATGTCAAAGGAAGATTGTTGTTGGGAACAGCACAGGAATGAAGGTACAAGCTGAGCTGTCATGTTTATGGTTGTGCACTGGCTTACCACAAGAGGCGTCTGATATAGCATAAAATAAACTATCTTTACGTGACTTGGCTTGAAAGAATATCTCTAGGCTTCACTACTCAGAAAGGTATTGTATGGAAAGCTGGTGAAATCCAAGTGAAGAGCTGCTGAGGAAGACACTGGACGATGACCTCTGTGTGTCTCTTTCTGTATATCTGTCTGTGACTGCGTGTCTCTCAGTCTCTGTGTCTCTCTCTTGTCACTGTGTGTCTCTCTGTCTCTGTCTATCTGTCTCTGTCTGTGTGTCTCTCTGTCTTTGTGAGTGTCTGTCTCTGTGTCTGTCTCTTGTCACTGTGTGTCTCTCTGTCTCTGTCTATCTGTCTCTGTCTGTGTGTCTCTCTGTCTTTGTGAGTGTCTGTCTCTGTGTCTGTCTCTTGTCACTGTGTGTCTCTCTGTCTCTGTATATCTGTCTCTGTCTCTGTGTGTCTGTCTGTCTGTATGTGTCTCTGTGTCTCTGTGTATGTGTCTCTCTCTGTCTCTGTGTGTCTGTCTGTATGTGTCTCTGTGTCTCTGTGTATGTGTCTTTCTCTGTCTCTGTGTGTCCCTCCCCCCTCCTCTCTCCCATCCCTCTACTTCTTTCCCTCTCCATCCCTCTCTGTCTCTGACTGTCTCTCTCTTCACATACATGAGTGCATATGTGTACATTCACACACACACACACACACACACACACACACACACACACACACACACACCAGACAAAATTTGGTAAAGGCTTTTGGACTGTGACATCAGTTTCCTGGCGCAGACATTGTATGTGAGGAGGCTCACTGAGGGGAATGAGAGGAGAATACACATGGCCCATTTGTAACTTCTGTATATTTACATTTATTTCAAAGTACAGTGGTGATTTTTTAAAAAGGCAGTTATTAACTGAAAGCATTAACCTGTGCACATGAGATGCCTAGGGCTACCACAACAAAGTGAGAACGCCTCATGGCTTAAACCAATAGAGATGTATATAGTTACTGTCTCACAGTTCTGAGGCAAGAGTCCATGATCAGTGTGTGTTGGGAAAGTCACGCTTCCTGTGACATCTGAGGGGATTTTCCTGGACTCTTGCTAGACTTGGGAAGTTGACTAGCAATCTTTGTTCTGTGGACTGTGGCTGCATCACCCCAACCTCCCCCCATCTGGTGCTCTGCCTCGATGCGTGTCTTTCTCACAGCCATAACTTTTTAGGGACACTACTCAATCTAGATCGGGGGTCCACTCTACCCAGGATGATCTCATCTAACCAACCGCGTCTGTAAAAACCATATACCTAAATAAGCTTACTTTCTGACATACTGGGGCTTAGAACTTCCATATATCTTTGGGGACGGGGGTGGGGAGGTCACCTCCTTCAACCTATAGACCTAGTCCATACCTAGGACTAAATTCTAGACTCTGCAAAATTCTACAATGGAAACATGTCATTCCCCACTTTAACTCTTTTATCTCTGTATGCATCAGTCATTGTTGGGTGCTGCGAAGATAAATGTCAATACTGTGAAAAGTCTGGCCTATGGGGAGATGGGGGTGGACAGGAGGGATAGGGAACTGGGATTGGGATGTAAAATAACATTGTTTTTAATTTACATTAAAAAAGAAAAGAAGAAAAGTCTGCCCTAGATGACTCAGTATTCTTACACAAATGTCAAAAACCCAGGGTTCTTCCCTACTCCTTAGGAAACTATTAGAACTCAACTTTTGTGTTCTTTAACACACTCAACTTTGTGGTACTTTCTTGTCCATTTGCTAATTGATTTGTGTGATTCTCCCTCCCTGAAATTGAAGTCAAAGTCCACACTCCTTCTGTCCTCTTACAATTCTCCATATGCTAAAAAAGTCCCAAACCCAACAGGCCCTCAATTATTTGTTAAAGAGCACACGTTCGTTGAAGATTTGCATGTCAAATTCTACCTTATCCCTTAATCCTCATGCCAACCCCTTTCCAGGTGGATGCTGGAGTTCTAAGTCACACATTTTGTTACAACCATTGTAACAAGTGTAAGCAATCAGCAGAGACAGGATGCTCACTTCAAACCAATTGGGCTTAGCCCATTCTAGAGCTAGAGTCACTCTTACATACTCATCCCCCATGAAAATGCTCGCTGCACTGTACTTAGAAAAGCATTCTATTTAATATACCGGAAATGCATTTCATTTTACTCCTAAAGATAAAATCCAAACTGGAGAGAATTTCTGATGCTTGAAATAGAAATACTTGGAGAGGGTTTGGGACTTAAAAATAAAATACATTTGTGCTTGCATCTAATCAGACAATCATAAAGTTGAATAAACCCAACAGTAGCCAACAGCAACAAACACCACAATTCAAGCATTCCAGATTCTCGGGGTGTGTTTGAGATCAAAGGCTAATTTCATTTAAAATGCAGGTAATTGATCCAAGAAATGAACATTCAAAATAAAGAAATTAAACTATCTAAGAATAACTCAGGCCACTGGAAAAGATAGTGTAATACAATACAATTCAAACATTTATTTTTGCAGAGGTTGTTTTGTAAGTCATTTTCATATAAAGCTTATTTATTTTATTAAACTGAATGTTTCCTACTAGAAAGACTTTAGGGACACATTCCTTTAATGTTATTCTTTGAATAACTAGAAGAATATGAAACAATATGTATATGTGTGGGTGCTGTGTGATAGGCTTTTTATCTACCCAAATTTAAGACCAGTACAAATTAAGGTCAGCTACCTATTCATGACAGGTCTAGAATAGAGGCAACTTGATTAGGAGGAGTCAGTATTGCAGCCAGTGGCTCTGAGAACTTTGTATGCATTCTAAATTTCAAAGAAACCTCAACACTTCATTCCTTCTCTCCCAGACAGGAATTCTCCAGGAATAAATCCTTGCCCAAACTCAGCCCTGTCAAGTTTTGATGAGCTTTTGATGCCTCCCACAACCCAGAAGCTGTGGCATGGCTATCTGTGGTTACCCGGGCCATTAGCCACAAGGCTAGAAAGAAGTTGTTTAAATAGATTATTAGAAGAACATTGAGTAACCCATAGAGAATCAGTTGGGTTTTATACTCCAATGATTGACCATACAGTGATTTCTGAGATCTTCTTAACTGACTTCTGTCTGTCACCAGTAGAGATATTTTTTTTTGTTTAAAGATTTATTTTTCTGGCCTGTAATTTAATTATGTGGTGGGGGTATGTGTACATGAGTCCAAGTGCCCTCTAAGTCCAGATGAGGGTGTCAGATCCCTTGGAGCTGGAGTTACAGATGATTGTGGGTCACTTGACCCACAGCACTGGGAGCTGAACTGAGGATCCTTAGCCCTTACGGGACCCTGTACCCTTACCAGCTGGACTCTCTCTCCATTCCACCAGTGTTGTTTGATAAGGCTTATTAAATCTTCTGGGAAATTCTTTGATTTTTATTTAATTATACATTTTTCCAAAGGGATTGATTCATGCTGTACACAGTGTCTTAAAAATCTAAACCACGTGAAGAGAGCATGTTAGTATTTCTTAATACTTAAAAAAAAAAAAATCGTCAGTTTGAAGACAGGCGGGGCTGTGGATGTAGCTCAGAGACAGTGTTTGCCTAGAAGACAGAAAGCCCTAGGCTGTATTTCCAGCACCACAAAAAATAATAGTAGTAATCAGAGTAGAAAGCATCTGAGAATCACTGCTATTTCTTTACAAAACAATGGGACCCTGACACAGAAAGGCAGAGACACAGTCCATGAACAGGAAACAGGACACAACCATAAGAGGGCTGGCAGGCCTCAATTATTCTGCAGATATACTTATGATCTGTGCACTAAGTGAGCATAATTCATGAGCCTGAAGTAGCACACACACGCCAGCCAGGGAACACCTGATCCTCTGGAGAGCTGCTGTGGTCCACGAGAAAACAGCACACGCATGGTAGAGCTGTAGGAGGAACAGGACACCTCACGTGCCATTTGGGGAAGAAAGGTATCCGGAGAAGAGAGTCCCAGACTTTGAAGCATAATCAAAACAAAATCAAACAAGTTAAAAACAAAAGCCTCTGGACAGAATTGAAATGTTGAACGGCTCTTAAAAAGGAGGAGGTTGTCTCTCTTTAAAGTGACAGTAATCGTAGGTGAGGGAACCTACTGGGACCACTTACATTTCAAAGACAGAAATAAAGTTTTAAAGGCAGAACATGCAAAGTCCTCCCTTCTAAGTGTTTTGAAATATACAACACATTACACTATATGAAAACACCAGAGTGACGTAACAGGGCACACAGAGATACGCACGACCGTTACTTGGTGGTTAAAGATGAAATGAAACTGAAGAGGAAAACTAGTTTTGAAGGTAATTTCTTACTTACCAAACCTGCTATTGGTGTAGACAGTCTATTGATCTTCCTTATGATGCCAGGTTTGAGCTTATTAATCAAACTGAAAGTAAATAAACAAATAACACATGCAATTACAAACATGTCAATGCGATTTTAGTGCTCTTTGAAATAGTCTCCAAAATTCTGGGTTGCAGAGTTCTGGTCCCAGATTTGTTGCTCTGAGCCAGTGGCCCATCAGAAGACAAACAACACAAAACAAAGAACTTCTGCACAGAAGGATGGAAAGATCCCTGCATCAGACTTCTATATCCAAAGCCTATGCCTTTAAAAATGGTTTCACATGCATTAAAGACACAATCTGATTCCGTTTCCACATGCTGTAGGAGACTCTCATCAGAATTCCCTTCACTTGGCCCTAAGAATACTTTTCCCTATAATAATTCTCAATGGGATTTTTGTTTTGTTTTGTTTTGTTTTCTCATCTGGGTCCTTGCTTTGAAAGACAGCCTTCCACCCCATTGTTTCACATGTAAAGGATGCCAAAGAACTCATCCAAATAACTGGCTATTTCTTTCTGGTCACTCATTCATGCCCATGACAGATTGCTTTGTTATCAGAGCAGAATGACTGGGTGAAATTAAATGTAGCAGAACTCCTCCAAATTCCCCTGAAATCTGATACTGAGTGCATTTCAGCTACTATGACACAAACTGCAAAGATATCTATGTCTCTTTACACCAAAGCACAGGAAACTCATCCTGCACTAAGTACAGCTCTGCTTCTAAGTCTCTATGGGTATGGATTCATTCTTTTTCTTCATTGACACAGTGGTAGACCATGTAGTAACTTAATACCACAATGTTTTCTCAACAATATGAATGTGAGTAATTAATCATTAATTGAAGCCACAAGACAGTATCCTGAAATAGTGAAGTGTGGTTGTTTTTTTTTTCTTTTAACAATTCATCACCCAAACAAGCAATTCTTTCTTCTATAATAAGGCCCAACAGGAAAGCAAAACAAGAAGAGGAAATAAAATCATCTAATTCACTGGTCCCTCCTTTGCAATGGGCACTGGTACGGTATGTGGGAGGGTGTCCTATGGAATGTCACTCCTTCCTCATTCCAGAGATTTCTATATACATTTGAGTATGCTATGAATAAAAAAAAAAGACAAAAAAAAGTCTCCATTTAATAGCCTTCAGAATGCTGTTCAGCAGGATTCAAAATGACAAAGCACTGGCTTACGAAGATTTAGTCTGGCAAACAAAAGTTGCTTTTCTGTTTTTGTAGGTTGTTCACACAGAGATCTTTCAACAACTTACAGATAATACAGCCATCCCGCCTTGGCCTTGAAGATCCATAGCTGAGAATGAACTTGGGGCCTCATGTAAGCTAAGCACATACTTTCCTATTGAGTTATACACCCCAGCAGCCCCAGCCCCTCCACTTTATGGTATTCTCCTCAGTTGTGACTACTCCATGAGCCCTAATTTCTGAACTGTATATTGCAAGGAGTTTAAGAAGCCTTTTCCCGCCGGGCATTGGTGGCACACACCTTTAATCCCAGCACTCGGAAGGCAGAGGCAGGCGAATCTCTGTGATTTCGAGGCCAGCCTGGTCTCCAAAGTGAGTGCCAGGATAGGCTCCAAAGCTACACAGAGAAACCCTGTCTCAAAAAAACAAAAAACAAACAAACAAACAAAAAAGTCTTTTCCCTTCTCTGTCCACACTGTTTTTCCTCAATCACCAACTGAGGATCCAGAAAATAATTAAGCAGATTAATAAGAAATGGCAGCTATAAAATCCCTCTAGTTTTCCCCTTTTGACTGGATGCTTCTGTAATTCTGGTATTTCTGGTTCTTCAGCAATGCATGGGAGAATAAAGTGAGGCATTCCTTAATAACATAATTCTGACATCGTATATCAAGAAATCATTTATGGTTATTTATCACTACCTTGGCAGTGGTATTTTTTTTTACAATAACAACCTTTCAATTACATAACTTAGAAGCTAATGAGAAGGAGTAGCATTGTACTCTCAGGATGCCCAAGCACAGTTGTCCTTTTCAGAGAGAAGGGTCATAAACTCCTGGCCCACCCACTGACTCACTGGTGACTCTGACAAAGTCACTCTGTTTACCAGGTGACATGACTTAACACTTTTGTAATATAGTGTCAGTAATTTCAAGAGCATTTTCTACTCAGTTTCTGGAATGAATAATAAAGCAGATTACTGTCAGGGAAGTAAGGGACAGAGGAAGGAAATAAGAGACAGATACCTTCTAGTGGCTTAACCAACTCCTCCCACATTGGCAGATTTGGTCAGAGATGACCCTTAGAAGCTGCATATACACAATGAAGTTAGCCTTCCTTCTCACACTTCAGCCTTCTTGTACGTGTGCAAACACGGAAATAGCCACAAGGAAAAAAAAAAAAAAAAAAACAGCACTCTGGAGAGCACACACTCATCCTCAAAAAATCTGAGTCACTGGAGGGAAATACTATTTTATAAAACACTAAAGAGGAAATGAACATATGGTTTTGACAAATACTGAGCATGCAAATCACTTGATGAGTTATGAATTATCATTCTTAAGGAGGAACTTTTAGGATATTTCTTACAAGGATAAAAATGTTTTATGAGATCTAAAAATAATTAGATGGAATTTAAGCCCACTTAATGGAATACAGACAGGGTCTCAAGTTAAAGGAAATTTCTAGTACCATGTATGGAAACACTCTTTTACAAATAGAAATGGTTTGCACTGTAAGTGTTCTTGAGTTTCACATGGAGACTTTCTAAAGGGACACTGACTTCAGGTCACTGGCTCTGAAGCAAGAGTCAGATTACAGGATAAACTTCCAGATGCCCCCATGCCCTGGGGGCATGCAACCCTATGTTCCAGCCCTCTAGCCCTGAGTAGAATTTTATCTTTATCCCTCTCAAGCCTTCCCTTATGAGACAGGACAAACCTGATTACTGCTTGCTTAGCACAGCCAAGGTTTGTGCTTTGGTAAGATTAAAACTAGAACATAAAACAAATTGGGGTACTCTCACAGTGACTTCAATAACCCTCTCCTTGGCTTCTGCTGAATGTTTGTGAACCTCCTAAAACTGCCATGTTCAAAGGCTATATCTTCTCTAATTTCTTTAAAGACTTGAAGTTCTTGTCATATATAACCTCCCAAGTTATGGTATTAGAGGGCAGGGCCCCGTGGGAGGTGGCAACTTCATGACTCTGCATCTCCTGAATGCCATTAGTGCCCTCAGTCAACAGGCCTTGCCCTTCCTCTGTGGGAAGTTACGGTGAGAAAGTTACACTGAGAAGGTATGCACTAATAAAGAAGTGGGCCCTCACCAGGCACCTAACCTGCATCCACCTTCATCTTGGACTTCCTAGGCCCAGCACAGTGAGAAATAACTTCCTGCTATGTACAAGCTATCCTGTTCCTGGTAGTTGTTATTGTAGCTGAAATGGACTAGGCTTCATTCAAGGTATCTACTTTTCCTTCTTCCTGCCTCACCAGCAACGACATTGTCTGTCCTCTACAAAAGGGCTGAGTGGACCTGGGCTAGATCATTGGTTCCATCCACACGCCTTCCTGTCAGTGGATACAGTCTGACTTCCCAAATCAGGTGTGATCACCCATAGGCTACCAAGCTCTTTCAGTGATCTCAATACATTCTTCTACTATTTTTGAAAATCACTGGAGAGTAAAAATGTAGTCCTGAGTTTTGTACTTTTGCTGAAGAGCTTTCTGATAAAGGGGGGAAAGCAGACTTTGGCATTTAGAGCTTTATCTTTTTTTTTCAGGTTACCCCACAGTAGAATGTCAAGCTCAAAAGCTCGCCTTAAAAATGTTCCCATCTGAGCCATGTTGAGCTTTATAGATGACTTTCTGAAGTGTCACATCCCTGTTACCTGTTAGTACATTTTGCAAATTTTTATGTTTAAGCTTAAGTTTTTAAGCTTAAGCTTGTTGTGTTTATTTTGAGACAAGGTTCCATGTAACTCAGACTGGCCTCAGATTTGCTTATGCACACCCAAGGGTGACTTTGCACTTCCGATTCCCTGACTGGTCAGCCCGCCTAGATTATGCAGTGCAAGGGACTGAACTCAGAAGCTCATGCATACAAAAGATGAACATTCTCTCTATTGAGCTACGTCTCCATGCCACAATAAAAATAAATAAATAAATAAATAACCAATAAGGAGGTCACATCTTCCTAACAAATTGAACTAATAATTTTTCATTGATTATTACCTACAGGATATCAGTTTGTCTACTTTTGTTCTAAATCGGAATTCTGCTCATTGGACATTTACTTACTAAAGAAAGTCCTGAGCAAGGCTCAGCCACAGGGCAAGATGATCAGTACAACTACTTGGAGCAAAGCCCTGAAATCTACCTTGATCTTTGGGTTTGTGTAAAATTTTCAAAATTTCTATCTTCTTTAAAGAAATAAATTTAGAAAAAGATTGCCTTGCTGAAATGAAATGCCATGGTATTTTTAACCAGCAATACCACTCGTCTACAGTTTCTGTTCCAGGTGCATGAAATTTTATTGTTTCCTCCTAATTGTCAAAGTTGACCCAGAGAGTGAACTGTCAGATCCAGTTCATCTGGACCAGCTATCTTCAGGAGATGTCAAGACAGTAAGTCAATGACTTCTGTCTAAGTTCATATTTTAAAATAAAAAGTACATTAAATAGACAGTGACCACATTTTCATGGGTAAGATAACCAGTAATAGTCATTTAAAATGTAAAACTGTAAAAACTTTTGGTATAATAGTTACTGCATTAGTGTTTTCAAGTGTAAGTGATATAAAAAACTAATATGTTCAACTTTAACATAAATAAAAACTTGACAATAAATGCTGAGACGGGCAACCGTGTGGAAGAACAGTAGTAAGTCCAAACCAGCGTCATTATTGTCATTTTCCTACAGTGGCACTTTACTGAGCCTCATCAGTATGCTTGAAACACATTAACATGCAGAAAACAGTTATAAAATGTGACTTGTATGCATATGTTTTTAGGGCTCACCATTTTGTACGAGATAACAAATGGGGGTGGGGGACTTCTTCCATGAGAAAATTATTTCTCATACTCTCAGCATTCTTTTATTGCCTGTTGTCCCTTGTCTATGGTTGAGACCCTGTGAAAGTTCCCTGTGCATGTTAGCATGTCTATTAGTGTCATCCTTGTTTACATCTTGTTTAGACAGGCATGTTGTTGAGACTTCATGGGTGTAGCTTTCCTGACATTTCTAGGAGATACAATCTCACAGCAGATTTCCTGTTCCGCTGGTACATTATATTTATCTATGTGGGAATATAGATATAGATATATAGATATAGATAAATAGAACATATATAGAGAACATCTATAATATATATAGAACATATTTAACAATTAAAGAAAAAGAGGACATGAAATGAGAGAGAGCAGCAAGTACCTGGGAGTGGGTGGAAGGAGGAAAGGAACAGGAAGAAATGATGTAATACTTTAATTTCAAGGTTTCTGAAGTACATGAAGCAAAGCCAGGGGCGGGGGGCGGGGGTGCTAAAAGCAGATTCCTCCCATTCTGAGAAGTCCCGTAATTACAGACTAATGATTGAACACCAGGACATTTCCTTTACCATAGCAGAATGAGCAGCATTTAGACACAGACCTCAGAGAAAACTCATAGATCACAGACCTTCTACTCCTAAGAGACAACACAAAAGGAAATCTAGGCGACCTTGGATCCAGTGATGACATTTTTCTGATATGACATCAAAGGCACAATCCATGTAAGAGACAATCGAGATGCTAGACTTCATTAAAATTCAAAATGTTTGTTATCCAAAAGATGCTGACAAGAGCATGAAAAGACAAGCCATAGAGAGGAAAAATAAATACATTCACGAGACATTTCTGATAGACTGCTATCCAAAACAAAGAACTCTCAAGACTCAAGCTTTAAAACCAAAACAAAACACTGATCTATAAAGGAAACAAAGACCTTAATAGTTACTCCGCCAAATAAGACGCACAGATGGAAAAATAAGCTACAAGGAAAAAAACAAAAAAAACAAAAAAACTCCACATGACAATGTCATCAGGGAAATGCAAACTGGAACAGATCGCTACCGCCACATACCTATTAACTGCTAAGAAAGGTCAAAAACCAGTAACTCAACAGACAACACCAAATGCTGGCAGGGACATGGAGCAACAGGAATGAATGCCCATTCATTGCTGGGTGGGAGCAGGAAGCACCGCAACACTTTGGAAGACAGTGTGCCAGATTGTTATGGAACTAAACATACTCTTCCCATATGAGCCAGCAGTAACACTCCTCAGTGTTCACCAAATAAGTTGAAAATGTGTGGCCACTTGCACACGGATGTTTATAGAAGTCTTATTCATAATTGCAACAACATAGAAACATCATGATGTCCTCTCCCATGTTAGGTACATTGGCATAAATAAGCTGGCTCGCCCTTAAAAATGATATCATTTGGTCCAAACATGAAATGAACTATGAAGCCAGGAAAGGTTACAGATCCAATTCAAGTTAATATCAACTCAAAGAAACCAGTCTGAAAAGGGTCCATATTGTATCATTATGGTCCCACATGATATGCATTACTATGTCATATAATGCATTATAGAAAGTGTATTATTGTATTGCAGATATTACATGCATTATATAACATTCAGGTAAAGGTAACCCTATGGAAAAATGTCTGGTTAGCAGGTATGGGAGAGAAGCTGATGAGGCAAAGCACAGGATTTTTAAGGCAGTGACACTACCCTATCTAACACTAACTGTTCTGCTACACATGTGATTAGGTGTGCCCCAATTTTTGCTAGCATAAAAATGACGGTACACACATTTGTTTAGCCTCCTTTTACTGTCTCCTGTTTCCGAAAATGAAAGCATTCATGTGAAACACTAATACATATCAGAAGAAGATTTGGGGGACATGCATCAGTTCACATCTGCACCAGCACCCCCGTACCTACCTCGTGGTCCCCCCCCCCCCACTTTCCACACCCAGATACTCTCTGCCTCTGCATGTCAGCTCCCTCTTGTGTAATCTTCCACAGTGCCTCAAGCTTTTAGGGGATTAAAAATATCAATTAGACTGGGCGTGTGGCTCACTGATAACGTGCTTGCCTTGCCTAGCATGCACGATGCCCTGGGTTCCTTCCTAAGCACCGTATAACCTAGGCACAGTGGTGCATCCGACAATCCCAGCATCCCAAAGGTGGAGGCAGGAGAATCAGAAGTAAAATCCCACTCTCGGCTACATAGCAAGTTCAAGACTAGCCTGATTTGAAAAGAATAAATGACA